ACGGAACCAGTAAGTTAAGCGTGCGTGCGTGTTACAAATTTTACTCATCCGATCGAACACAAAAATCTGTAATTGTTCAGAATATTAGCTAACACGCGAGCACTTTTAAAATGTGTTTTAGTATAGTAAGATTTTAAGAAATAATCATACATTTGTTTCGAACACATCAATATAATAAGCAAATAATAAATAATCAATTTTCATTCTAACTTATTGAAAAATTGATCATTATTCTAAATAGCGATCAATGTATTGGATTTTGGAAATTAACTTGACATTGAGTAAAAAAAAAAGTATAGGATAATATAAATTGTATTTTATATATCTAAGGTAAGGTATAACCTGTATAAATCCTAGTACCTTAGGTCTAGGAACTTCTGTAACTACACCTATGCTATTATTATTTATTACTGCTTATTGTCATGAATTATTTTGAATGAAATTGAAATAATAAACTTTTTTTTAGTGTTCATTACTCGGAATGAATTCGTTAATTCGTTCATTTGGATATCATTCATGTTTTAATTTAAATTAGCACGCATGTACTACGCAAATACATAATATACATAAATTCGGGTTTCATTAACGTAGATTGCACTAACCGTCTTCATGAGGCGCCTGCAGACCCGAATACTCTTTGTCTAACGATGGCAGTATGGAGGCCAATTCCTTGCACTTGTTCGTCGCGTATTCCGCAGCCGTTATTTTTTTAGATTTCTGGCACGTCTAAGAGACACAAGACAGTTATTGTTTATAAACACGATATGTACTAGTAAAGTTTTTATGATACCAGTGGTTCTCAATATGTTCAAAGTGATGACACAAAAATTAGATTAAATTTTATCACSACCACTAGAAACGTTTTGTTTATATTATAGGCACCTGGTCATACGTAACTTAACTTCAAAAATAAGTGGTTTAAATCACGTGTTTAGGTGATCTTCATAAGTAATTAAATAGTCGACGAGGACAAATTTCGAGAATCGCTAGTATGGACTAACAATATTCATAACAATAATTTATATAATACACCTTGTCGTCTTTGCAGAGAACGGCTTCGTGTCTGGGTCCCTCGCATCCCTCGTTCGTGTTTATCGGTTTCGGATTGTTGCACATTCTCGTCCTGGACCTGAAACCTATAACAAACGTGATACACGGTCGGGGTGGTACATTGTTGTTATGTAGCGATGAATAAAAGAGTGAAAAAATAAATAAACAAAAAAATAACCCACATACCTTTTGACTTATGTATACACCCCGACGTACATTCGTGCACCTTCCACTGACTCCATCCACCTTTTATGATCTTTTTCGGTTTTTTCGGTTTGCCTTTAACGCATTTTCCCGCCTCACACCACTGCGTTTGAAAAAAAATCGACAACAATAGGTTCAATCCCGGGTAACCCGTAAAAAGCTTTTTCAATTTAGAGTGGATTAAAAAAAAAGTGTTCGTGTCAAATAGGTTGATCGAATTAAGCTAAGCTATATATATCATTATATGTATAACAACCTATATTTTCTTCTTTGGTCACACTCCGCGCATTATAAAATATAGGGATTAACTTCATCATTTGGAGAAAAAAATATCAATACGATGTTACTATTACAAACCGCGCTGTATCTATATTTTACGAGATCAATTTAAACCCATATATATAAAAATTAAGGTGTATTCTCTAATCGTACCAACCTAATCTTATTTCGCTTCTCATTTCATAAAATATTTTATGAAGTTATTCTTTTAAAAAAGTAAAGTATTATTAGGTATAATTATCATAGTCCAGGGCTAAATTAGATTTCAAATAATGAATAATCAAAAAATCAATTTCAAAATGCGTGAATTCTCTCAAACTCTAAATTATGAAAAGATGGGTTCTTTTTCAAAACAAAATATGTTTCTCTTATATTATGATATATGTGCAATATTGAGCATATTTTCCATGATTGCAAACACCACCTAGTTAGTTTTTGTCACTGATTACCGATTTTGTGGACTCAAACTAGGAAATACAAGCAAAACTAAGCACTTTCAAATTGTTTGTAGCAACATGGCATAAATTTTAATAGCACTCTGTTTGATATTATGTCAAAACAAAAAAAATGTTCCTAATAACCCGAGTAAAAAATTATTATTCACTTTCTAAAAAAATAAAAATGTTAATATTTTTGGTATAGCTGACAAAAAAATATAATAAAAAAGTTAATATACTATGTAGAATTTAATATTTGGTATATTATATTCAGCAATAGTTGTTTATTATTTTTTTCTAGCAGTGTATTTCAGGTATAACAATTTTAAATTTAGGAGTTTATTCATACATTTATTATAATATGGGTATACATTTTATACAATGACAAAATAAAAATTATCTTATAAATTTTATTTACATTTTCGAAATAATTTATATTAACTTTGAATACGGTAGCGCTTTGTAATTTGTTTTAAATATATTTGTTTAGAATTAATTAGAAACAAAATAATAATAATAATTTAAAACTGTATGAATTGTTTACAAATTTATCTGCTTACTTATATTTCTTACTATCAGGACTTAACATCTATGCCATGCCATGCATAAATATGTATAATATTATTATATAAATAAAAATATAATAATGCGTATAATTACCGAGCTGGGCCCACACGTGGTTCCTTCTAATGCTGGCCCGGCAAAATAATATCCAGGTTGGTTTGGTGTTTCACATTGTAAATTTTCACATATATCCTATATAAAATATAAAATTAACCACAGCATAAAATTATTGTCAATTGAGATGAATATGCATACCTACACCTATCTAGATATTGTTAAATATACAATGTACAAGTTATATATATTTGTATTTGTATTCGTGTTTTTCCAGTCAAAATATATTCGATTTGACAAGACCAAAATGTCATTGGAAAACACAATGATTAAAATAAACATAATTTAAAAAAAATTGGTAGTTATAATATTATAAAATATATAATATGTCCATATAGTGATTTGATTTGACCACTATTGTAGTACTGTTTTACCGAATATTTTTTCATCAGTTTTTGTAAGCTTTTGTCGTTACGTTTATTATTTTTTACTATAAAGGTCACAACTAATTTTCTATTCAGGAGCAGACCGTTTTTCATAACATACCCGATGCACAATTGTTATTATTGCAGGCTATTGGACTACCAATAATGTAGTACAATACCTATTTATTAAAGTTTAAAGTTTGGATGACCCACGGAGTGGAAAATGGTCGGGATATTGCCAAAAAGTATATACAGTATAATTTTGTGTATACCTACTTTCTTTTTTACTCTTAATTTCTAAAGCTTTAAATTCTAGTACATAATATGTGTAGTTTCTATTATAATATACATCCGTAATGTTTAATGTTTTTTACTGACGTTTTAAAAAGATATTGTATTTTAGAAAATTGAAATTAAAAAAAAAAAACAAACTCCATTAAATGAAGTAGAAAACCTAAATTAAATTTCATAAAGTTCAAACAGCGCGTTTAAGCAGATAATATCTACTTTAAATAACGTCGAAAAACATCAAAAAAAGTACTTACAAACGCTCGTGCGAATATAGGTAAGTAAAAAGTATACCTCCGACTGAATCTTTGCAGGTAAATCGTAAAACATAATAACCGCAGAAAAAACACAATCAAAGTAATACTATGGAGTAATAATGACGAAGAAAAAAATTGCTCGTAAACAAAAGTTACAGACGTCGTTCAACAATACAATCGAGCTTTTTATAGAACAACCTCCTGCGTAAGTTAAACGGGAAAACACGATAGTCTACGGATATTATATAGGTTTATACGCCTGGAAAGTGTATTTTCCTCATCGAGCCAAGCAACGGAAGAAACGGTTTTCACGAAAAGGTACTCAATAAACATTATGTCAATTATTGTACTATTCTGCCAACAGTTTGTTCGCGTAATATGATCACAATCAGAATGGAAATACAAAATGCAGCTATAAATAGGGTGCTACAGCCGAGATGAACATACGACAAACCCCGTAACTATCATAACATATATTCGTTTTTCGGTAAGATGAATAGAACATAGTATTTTATACTTGGATCAAAATACACCGTAGTATTCGATTCGTAATTTTCGTGCTCGGGCTCTGGATTAAACGAATAATGACATAGTTATGCGATGGCGGTGTTTAATGACTATAGGGATCAATGAATTAACTTTGTGTGGCCGCAGACAAGAAATTTATTTTTATTTGATGAAGAATTCATTGAGCATTTATTTTTATTAGTTTTAATCGTAATAATTGATTTTGCCATTTTATTATTTAAACAAAAATATTAATGTACAATTACGGGTCTCAATGCCTTCCTAAATTTTTAAACTAGCATTCCAAAAATATTAATTTATGATCGCTGGTGTATAGCATGTTATTTATTATTTATCAACACTTAACATTTAACCCAACATTTGTGATGATGGTATTAAGTTATGTTTTCATTTTATTGATTTAATATTTTTAGTTTTTATATAAATAAGAAAAATATCATCAAATATCGATCCCACATAGGTCCCCACAAGAACTTTGGAAAGGATCAAATATTATTTTTTAAATTATTGGCAAGCTGCATATGTTTTTTAAAATTAAATATGACATGATATAATACACGATGATATTCATAAATTCAAAACAAATAATTCTATACTTTTAAAAACAAATTATTCGAATCATTAGAATTATTAGTATAATATTTGTGAAAAAATATTACCGTATGTCTAAAAACTGTATTTAATCATTATTTGATGTTATTTTGATGCTTATTGTCGGAATCTCTTTAATTCTCGCAAAAGATAATAGAACTGGAAAAATATGAATTTTTATTTTGTTATACTATGGAATATATAGTTTAAGTTTAGTGTGGGCCACGAAGTGTTTATCGCTGATATTATAGACTGGAAAAGATGTGAGCGCAATTCTTATTTTTTACTATTATCTATTAAAAATAACTGTGGACATTTAAAAATATGCAGTGAAAACTCTCACCTAGTCCTGTTCAAATCTTAGTTCAGGTAGTTTCACCGTGAATCAAAATTTAACCTCGTTTGATATAAAACCGGATGATATGCACTCTCTCGCTTAGGTTGGATATAGGAAAAACAAATGTAAACAAACCTTTTACGCGTTTATGGTTTGGTGTGATGCCTGGATAGGGTAAAAATGCATACGTAATATCTTTTATGTTGCGATGGCGTTATCATAGGTAAACATTAAACAACAGTCAACACTATATATTTTATTTTCTGTAAAAGAAACGAGTTATCAGCGATTTAATACAAACAAAGTCATAAAAAAAATCATATGACGATGATAAAATATGCATTAATATGCCAAACATTGAGTTACGTGGTCAATGGTTATCATATTACTAACATTATATGTCAATATGCCATATTGCTACAATAATATGGCTAATACACGATTTAGCATAAATAAGGGGTTAGGTTAATAAAGGGGTATTTACGACACAATTTGTAGGCAATATCAAAAGATTTGGAAATACAAAATAAAACCTTTACAATTGAGCGTGAAAAAATTCATCAAAATTGCCATTTTAAATTTTGAATTATAATTTACAAAAATATTTATTTAAATAATTAAAAATATGACATGAATTAAGTCTCTGATAAAATTATTGTTATATTATTTATATACATCATACATATTAATAAATGAAATGATACTTTTCAACTTATTAGGTTTTAAGCTAAATTACTTTAGTAAACTAGTAAAAGTAAAAATTTGAAAAAAAATTTTTTTTTTAATCTACTAATTTGTTACTAAGGAAAATCTGGTGTTATTTGTTTTAAACATATTTCTTTATTGATTGTTGAGGTTGAAAGTTTGTTTAAGTGAATGTTATATTGTTTTATACATGCAAACTAGGGACAATTAAAACTGCACTGAAAGTCTACGACAATAATTGTATTTGTTTACAGAAATTAACTCACAAGAAAATTATCAACGCTGTAACGTAATAGTTTTTATTTAATCAAAAACACTAAAATTCTAAAACAATTCATAATAATAACCAAACATTTTGCCTTTGAATATTTTTGATGTCACAGATTATAAGGACACAATTCAGATGTTCTAAAAATATAGCCCTAGATTCAATTATTATACCTTTTTATACGGGACGCAATTCGTAAGCCGCAGCTAATTATTTCTATAATAATTTTGGAATTGTTAATTATTTTAACTATCTTATTTTTTTCTTCAGATGCTAAATGTTTAAACCGTTGTATCTGTAACGATCAATATATTATGGATAAAACTAATATTTATTGTTTAGGAATTATTCAGAAACAAATTTATTAATCGATAACATTATCAATGAAGCTGATCTCAGCTTGCGTATCGTTTATGTTTGGTTTCATAGTATATGTTAATAATATATGAAAATTATAAGTTACCAAAATATCGGATCTGTAAATGTGACTATGTTGCATAAAATATTCCATGCTCAATCGTGCTTTATCGAATAATAAATTATACACACGATACTACAATATTCTCGTTGATTATGTGTGCGATAGGTGTTAAATTAATTAATTTTATACACAACTAACTCATTAAGGAAATAGGGTTGGCAATAGGTAGACTGCGTCCGGAGAGGAAATATTTGGACCGCTAAAAATATGGTGATTTTATTATTTGTCTCTGAGTAGATCCAAAATAACTTACTAAATAAAAAAAAAAATTCTTAGCCCTGTAGACATATTTTTTCAAATTATTCGGTACGAGGTGCTCCCTTTTAAACTTAATCTCAAACCCTGCTTTAAAGGGGGGGGGAGTATCGATAAAACACAATATAACATTTTTTGCTCATTTATGTGAACAGATGAATAGTAATTATTGCATTATTGTAAGTTAATGAAAATATTTAAATGAATAGAAATAATGCATACCTACACTTTTAAGCTAAACGTCTTGAAAACAGATCTATAATGTTTTATAAATATTATTTTTTGAAAGCGATTAAGTATAACAGATTCAAAAATCAAACCACAGTAGTTTATTATATAGCGATTTGTGAAATTGATTAATTGGAGGAGCTGTGAGGAGCTATTTCAGCTAGTTTTAGATCTGCGGCGTTTATCCCCCTGTGTGTCTTAAAGTAGCGGTGCACGAATACAATTTATTGGGAGACAAGTTTGATGGACTCTATATTAATAACCATTATCGCTGTGATTCTCCACCCCTCAACTTTTATCAACCAACTATAATATATTAGAATAGAGATTGTCGATCGACCTTCTCATTCATTTTACGACCACATCGTCCGTCGTGAACGCTAATTCTGAATGTAGCTTAGAACGTATATGTATTAATTTATACGTATACGTACACAAAGGTCGAGAAAACATTTCTACAATTATATAATATATAGTAAACATAGTTGACAAAAGTAGATTTAAACATAAAAATAATTGAAAAAAATGAGAGAGTATTCACATATGTGTCTTGTGGCTACTGATTTCAGTCGACATAAGAAGTAATAAGTTATTAATAAAATTCTAAATCATCGTTGCGCTTAGAAGTTAAAAAGCAAAATGAGATTGCTATAGTAATATATTTCTATTATTATTAACATCATTGGTTTCTAGGGACAATCTAATAAAATTTACTTGAAATTAATATTTATAACATTAATTTAATTATTGTTATTGTTTGATTTTCATCGCAACCATGACGTGAAATCGGTCACAAAAATACAATAATATTTTATGTTCCCGACCTCAACACGATAACTGAATGGAAACGCTCTTGATGCCACACAAATAACCCAAGATTTAATACATATTAAACATATGAATATTAAAAAAAAATGTTTTGCCATGTTATAATTATTGGGGAGAAGCCATATTAAAGTTTCCCTTGATGCACGCATTGCCACTACCATTGGTGCCTTTTCGACTACACCGAATCAACTCAAATCCCTATGTAAAATAACTCGTTAGATATGTAGATATTTAGTAAAAATTGAAAATTCGTGATAATTTTACAAGTCGATGAGAAACAAAAACGATTTATATGTCTTATTATACTATACATTGTACATGACAGATAGGTATGTACATCGAAAATACTGTAGGTGTACCGAAAATCTTATATTTTTTTACGACGTAGGTATCACTATTTTTGTTTTCACTAAAGAAAGCAAGAAAATGGTGGAGGGGGTGAGTCAGAGGCTATAAATAATAAACATGTTATACTCGGCGTGTTTGTTAAACGATGTGTTATTTCATTATAGCCATTGTTGTGATGACAAACTTACTTCTGGTTCCTGGCGCGACGAGTCCAAATTTGTTTCGGTGCTCATTACTCGGGCTTCGTTGTCTAATAACAGCAGTTCGCATTGTTTTTTCGCGTCCCACGCTTGGCCAGGCTTGTCGGCGAATTTATTGTGATCTAACTTTTGGACCATGGTTGAATGCCGGCTACTGGACTGCTTGAAGAGACATTCAAGATTGCTGAAGCAAAAAAAAATGTCAACAGAAAATTGTATTACGTTGGTCCAGCGTATAATAATAATAATAATCTATATGGTTCACCCCAGCAAGTCTGCTGCACACCATAGTTGTATATAAATATTGTGTATTTTAGTATGTCTCAGATAAATGAGAAGTCTTTCAGAAAATCACTAACAATTATTTTATGTTGCGAGCTAACGAAATTAAAATCGACCAAAGTTAGAACATTATTATTGTGTAGCCATAATAATAATAATAATAATAATAATAATAATAATAATAATAATAATAATGATTAAGTAGGTCACATTTTATCGTGTACCAAATTACAAGAATATTAACATTGTTATCGAACACGGGTTTTACGAATATTTTCGGTTATTTTAGTATAAGATTGTTTAAGTTATAGTTTTCTCCCTTTATTCGTAGGTACTTAGGTATACACATTCACTGTGATTAATTGACGACTATAGTAAATTGAATAATATAATTACAAATTACTTGTATTACTTGTAATAAGAATTACAATTGCATAATAACATATATCTATCATATTACATATACAAATATGGTAAATAATATAGTTTGGTTAAACCTAGATAGTAAAAATTTAAAGTAAATATTATTAACATATAAAAAAGTGTTCGTGTGCGTTGTATATGAGTTTGAAATAATTAATTCGTTGGTAAATAATTTAATTTTATATACGAAAGAAATATAATATTGATTGCTTTTTTTTAAGTTGGTACTAAACGGACAGCTATCTATCATCTAAATTCTCTTTGACATAATATCAASTAGCTGTTTGATACCAAAAAGATTTTATTTACAGTTTATGGCTTATTTTAAAACTCTGAAAGAGCTAATTAAATTTTAAAGTGAATAATTTTAAATGAAATAATTTAAAGGCTTCATTTATTTAAAATAAAGGTAAAAATATTTCTTATATAAAGGTCTTATTAATGATGAACATCAATAAGTTGATAAAATATCTTATCAATTATTATTTTTTTGTGAGTTCATTAATAATATACTATTAGTATTAACAAATTGTGGACGGTAACTGAGCTTAAGATAGATTTAATCGGAATTGATAAATTAAATCAAAATGAATTGTTTAGGTATATAAATTTATTTTTCTTGGTTTGGTGTGGTGCGGTCATACGCTTAACTGCGGAAACGCTACGAGTATCAGCCGGTGTTGCTAGCTTCCAGATGGGTGACCACCCGGGTTTTTAGCAATAAATCCTTGTAATGTACATACATTTTATTTTCCAAATCAACCCTTCCCCTACAAACAACTAATGGTCATAGTTACTGCCTAGCTGGTCTTATGATCAAAACAAAAAATTGTGAATGTATTTAATCGTATTTAATTATCCAATCATTAATAAAAAATTGTAAGTATTGCGATAAATCATAATTTGAAAACCTACATTAAAATCACACATTAGTTGACTTACTTGAGGTTTGTTGCGACACGAGCACTGCATTCTGACCATAACAATTCTCCGGTAATCCCTCTCGATGGTGACATTATGAACCCTTCTTTCGGACAATTATTCGTATTGCCGTCGTGATGCATACCTAAACTGTAGCGAAAAATTGTTTTAAGGTTATGAATCGAAAGTTCCTACTTAATATGTCCAATGTCCATATTATTTTATACTGAATTATTAGTAAAATGTAATACAGTAATGCCCCTTGCACAATATCAGTCACCCAGTAGGTTAGGTTAGGTTAGGTAGATTATAAAAATAAATATTCTTCTGTTTATACTACATGGAATTTTAGGTACGTTACACTAGCACCACAACCTAAACCAAATTCTTCAAAATTGGTTCCATGCGTTAGTGACCGAATAGTAACCATTCGTAACCGAAAATTCGGAATTCGTAACCTAA